CCCCAAAACCCCAAAACCCCAAAACCCCAAAACCCCTAGCCAAATAGGAGAAGTTGAATAACTTGTAAAGTTTATTGAATTTAGAAGTATTTTAGTAGTGTGAAGAACCCAATGAGAAGTAATTTTATGAGCCAGAGGAGTACTTCTTCACTACGTAGTTGATGATGGCTGTGATGCCGGGGGACAGGGAAGACTGAACGCAAGAGAGATAGGTGCTCCCGAAGTTTGTAAGGAAATAGTACAGTAATCTTGAGCACAAATCGTCTTGTAAGAAAGTTTTCTTTGCAGACTCGCTGTAATAGTAATAGATCCTCATAGGAGTACTGTTGATCACATCCTTGAAGATCTTACCCTCATTTGTAGACCTTGCCTTATAGTGAGCTTTGTAGAGGAAATCGAATGTAGAAACTGAATTCATGAAAGAAATGTCTGTTATTCCCATCTCTTCCAAGAAGATTTTGACTAGGAGATCTCTATTAGAGTCCTCTCTCTTTTCAGATCTGTGGAACCTACTTTTGAAGATCATCCTGTAGAAATCTCTCATGTCTCTGAGCACTTTAATCCAGAGGTACTCTTCAGTGATTTGGCCAATAGGTTCTCCTTCTCTTTTTGTTTTCTTTGTTAGAATAGCTATCCATTTTGGAAGTACCAGATCATTGAGAAGTCCTTCGAAGTTCTGTGCAGGAAGAACATTGATCCTCTTGCGGCCTCTTCTCTGACATTTTTTCTTAATCGAAACTGGGACTAATGTCTTTTTGTAGTGTCTTTTGAGATTCCTCAATTCGAGTTTCTATTTCAATATGTCAGAACCGAATGATAGTGGAATAACTTACCTCATATTGAATGGTGACCTCTGAAGTTTTCTTCAACATGTTTTGTCCTTCAAGGGGAATGTATAGTCCAAAAACATCAGTTTTCTTAGTCTCAGATCTTGGGTTGAAAACTCCAGTTGGGAAATCTACTATCTCCTGGTTTGAAGTAGCCTGAAGGGTATTTCGATAAACATCTGAATTTTCCATGGAGTTTAAATTGGTATACAACTGGTGTAACCTATCTTGGAAGATCTTGCTATTAGCTGGACCCTGTTGCTCGAATGAGCATGTACTCTCTGGGATAGTGCTTCTTGATGGACTAGCGGGTACTATATTAGCTGATTCGTAAACAGCTCCAAAAACTCTTTCGATCCTGGGGAGTTTTCTTTCCGAAAATTCATAGAAGGGTGTTTGAATAGTCTAGAAACATGTTAATTTCTAAGGCTTTACCTTTGTAGGAGAAATCTGTGGTTGAAACAATTCTGGATAAACTTCAAATTGGCTTTGAATGCAGTCAATATTGGCAAGATTTGGATCCACAGTCATCAAAGGAATACTGGACGGTGGCATAGCATTCATATCTCCATTGAGTCGGTTATTGTGAAGCTCTTGCATAAAAATAGTATCTCCTGCATAAATTTGCATATCTCATGGCTCTCGAGTAGTGTGCTGATTAAATAGCATACATGGAGCATAAATGCAAAAACAGGTCATTGGAGTACTAACGTAATTTGTATTAATCATTTTTATTATTAATAGTAATAATTTTTCGATTCTTATATACAGCAATGGGGTTTTGGGGTTTTGGGGTTTTGGGGTTTTGGGGTTTTGGGGTTTTGGGG